AAGGGTCAGTGTTTGGGTTACAGGGAGGGTCAGTGTTTGGGGTTACAGGGAGGGTTAGTGTTTTGGGGTTACAGGGAGGGGTTACAGGGAGGGTCAGTGTTGGGGTTACAGGGAGGGTCAGTGTTGGGGTTACAGGGAGGGTCAGTGTTGGGGTTACAGACAGTTTATCAATTCCAAACAAATACTTACCAATTCTGATGGTTTTTCGCTCTTTTTCTGTTGATTTGGATCCTGAAGACAAAACACAAATATTTTATTTTCCTGTCCGTGTCTCTGTATCTTCGCCTGTTGTTCCGGTTCTATCCCTCTGCTTAGTGCGGGAGTTTTGTTCTGGATTTCAGAGAATGTTCTATGACGGAGGTAAGTTGGGGGACCTGTGTACTGTTCATCCTGCCCATAATAATGAACAAAGTACATTTTCTGTGTTTATTCCCTGTGAAGTGATTATTACTCTATTTCATTTTATAAAGTTGACCAAAAGCCCAAACATACATTTTTAGTTTGGGTAGAGTAGGGAATGGTTTCTGTCCCATTGGAGAGACTTTCCTTCACTTCCTGTCCCAGAGACCGAACAGGAAGTGAGAGGAAATCTCTCCAAAGAGAAATCCCCATTGAAGAGCCTTTCTGTTCCTTTTCCGGTGACAACTGTAACATTTTGGATTTCCTCATGTAAAAGAGGGCAATGGTCATTAGGACAGAAGGTAAACATCACGAATCGGAAGGGAAGGAAAGCAATACCATACCCGACAGACCTGATACTTCTGCATTGTGCAACACTAGCAGGTGCAGATCAGAGCAGTTACAGACCGGATCAAAACTGCGTCCAATGTATTCCAAAGGTATTTTTAGCTCCAGTTCACATCGCAGCGTTCAGTTTCAGAGCAGGTAAAAAAACTGCAGCAGGCTCTATTTTACCTGCTCTGGACCTGCTCTGGAACGCATGCAAACGTCCCGGAACGCATCAATAACGCGGCAAAAAACGCGGCACAACCCAGTGCACTGCGTGTGCAAAAACTCATGCAGATCTGCTCTGCATTTGGTGTGAATAAGGCCTAACCAGCATTCTCCTCATAAGGACTGTGCACAAGTGCACAACCACTCTGTGCTGGTCACTACTAAAGTCCGGACCCAGGATTGGGGGATTCCATCCCTCCCAATGCTCTTTGACATCTCCCAGTTCCAGGATCCGGAAATCCCAAGCCAAATCCGGAAAACCTGGGAAGAACTGCAGAGCCAGCTCTTTCCCAGTAAACGTTTGCGCTTTCTGGAACTGCTCAGCCCCCCCCTGGCTGAGAGTCCTGGGTGACTATATGGCCAAATGACACCATGGCATTGCCACACACTGCCACAGTAGTCTAACAGTAGGTTCTTTGTTGCAAGTGCATCTTTTACAAAAAGGTACCACTCGGGTGGTAGATTCTTAACTATAAGGGGTCACCGGGGATTTTTTACAATAGAGGTTGGCAGTGTGTGTAATATTGACAGTAAAGGAGACCAGGCTGTCTTTATGGTAAAGGTAGACATATTGTTGATTCTTTACTGTAAAGGCAGTCACACTGTGGATGAATTGAAGGTATAAAGACTATGGGGTTGATTTATAAGCATGACGCTATTGCCACTAGGCAATTCCAATGCTCCTCAGCGCCATCTAGTGCTGGTGGTAGTGCGATGCAGACGGCTTATAAATCAGCCCCTATGTATTGTTTGTAATGTAAAGGAGCGTACATTATATGTAGTAGTAGACTTATACTATGGATTATTTACTGTAAGGGTATATATTTATTTATAAATCCAAAGTAGATATAGAGGCACCCTATGGGTTTTTGCAGCAGAGATTAAGTCAAAACATCAGAATTTTATTGTCAATGTTTCGATGGATCTCAGTCCATCTTCTTCTAGGTCACGATGAACTTGTAAACGTGTGGATGGCGCTCAGTCCATCTTCTTCTAGGTCACGATGAACTTGTTAACGTGTTGATGGAGCTCAGTCCATCTTCTTCTAGGTCACGATAAACTTGTTAACGTGTGGATGGAGCTCAGTCCATCTTCAACAAGGTCATGATAAACTTGTCAACGTGTGAATGGAGCTCACTCCATCTTCATCTAGGTCATGATGAAGATGAGCTTGTCAACGTGTTGATGGAGCTCAGTCCATCTTCAACAAGGTCATGATGAACATGAGCTTGTCAACGTGTGGATGGAGCTCAGTCCATCTTCATCTAGGTCATGATGAAGATGAACTTGTAAACGTGTTGATGGAGCTCAGTCCATCTTCATCTAGGTCACAATGAACTTGTAAACGTGTGGATGGGGCTCAGTCCATCTTCAACAAGGTCTTGATGAAGATGAACTTGTCAACGTGTTGATGGAGCTCAGTCCATCTTCAACAAGGTCTTGATGAAGATGAACCTGTCAACGTGTGAATGGAGCTCAGTCCACCTTCATCAAGGCCATGATAAACTTGTCAACGTGTTGATGGAGCTCAGTCCATCTTCATCTAGGTCATGATGAAGATGAACTTGTAAACGTGTGAATAGAGTTCACTACATCTTCAACAAGGTCTTGATGAAGATGAACTTGTCAATGTGTGAATGGAGCTCAGTCCACCTTCATCTAGGTCATGATGAACCTGTCAACGTGTTGATGGAGCTCAGTCCATCTTCATCTGGGTCTTGATAAAGATGGACTAAGCTCCACCGAAATGTTGACAATAAAATGCCGATGCTGTGACTTATCTCCACTACAAAACCCATGAGTGCCTCTATATCTACTTTGGATTTTGTATGGATATTTTTGTGAGTAGCTGAGAAAGTATTGAAGCCGTTGGACAAGCATGGCACCCTGTAACAATTTCAGAAGGCTGTCAGCCGCCGGTCCTCGTATTTATCCCAGGACAGGCTTCCTTTAATATTCCAAGCACAGTGTTGCCTTGTATAATGACTTTCACCGTACCGGATATTAATCATGTATTATAAAGCCCCAATCCCCGTCCACGCCGACCCCTATAAATTACAAACTTCACCTCTAAAGTCAGCCAGGCCCACAGGGATCAGAGATTTTCTACCTATTTTCCTCGACTCCGGGAACATGGTCTTTGCGCTGTATCGGAGCGAGCTGATTGTACATTCCGCAGCCAGCACAGAACCAATTACCATGCCCCTCTATTCTACCACCGTGTCTCCGCACTTTGCATAACACAGCCGGGAACAAGGGCGTCCGCTGGAGACCCACAATACGTATGGAACAGATCGGGCCCAGCAGCCTAATTAATGAACCAGCGAGCCTACTTGTTAAACTCCTCAAAGCTTCGTAAATCTTGGAAGGGTGAAGGGTCAGACATAGAAATTCAGAAGATGACGCCGGGTGTTTGAAGTATAACGGAATCGTAGCTATCTGTTCTTCTTCTCATCTGCTGAGTCTCAGGTTTGATCAGCCTAATGGGCACATCGGTTTTGGCGAAGTTACTTTAAAGTGACCCTGACAGGAAAGAAATATGGCACATTAACTTGAGACAGTATTAAGGGGCTAGGGGTTGTATAATGACAAAAAAGACCTTTAATTGAAAAATGTGGGGTCATCCGAGGACAAAATTTGTCCGCCCTTCAATACAGAACTCCCTGGTAGGGATATACCAGCAGATGACCCAAGTTATATATTAATAAAGCCAGGTAATTAACCAATTAATTTAAAACCATAAAACACAAAATGTTATTATTATTATGGTCACATCTCTTGCCTTGAAGAAGGGACCCTGTGTGGCCCCGAAACGTCGGCTCATGTTGGATTTCTGTGACATGATTGTCCATTAAAAGGACTCATTCATTTTAACTTATGGAGTGCTGGTGACCTATTTTCTTCATTATTACACAAAGAACACACTATAATAAATAAATAACATTTTATGTGCTTAAAAAGTGGAAAAAAACTAATGGTAAAGAAAAGAAGATGAAGAGTTCTTCTTCTTCTTATTATTATTATTATTATTATTATTTATTTACTCTATTCTTTACATTTCTTTTTAAAATAAATATATGATATTGTTTTTTGGTGTTTTTTCCAGTATAATGTGTTCTTTTCAGATTTGGCTAACTTGTTGCATTGTTCTTCAAAAGCGTAAAATGCCAAATGTTATTATTACGCAATAAATAAATTAGTTAATGGCTTTATTTACTTATGACTTAGGTCATTAGTTATCACTAGAGGGATCCCCAGCAGGAGGAAGGAGGTCCTGATTCCTCTATATAGATCTTTATTATCACTAGAGGGGTCCCCAGCAGGAGGACGGAGGTCCTGATTCCTCTATATAGATCTTTATTATCACTAGAGGGGTCACCAGCAGGAGGAAGGAGGTCCTGATTCCTCTATATAGATCTTTATTATCACTAGAGGGATCTCCAGCAAGAGGAAGGAGGTCCTGATCCCTCTATATAGATCTTTATTATCAGTAGAGGGGTCCGCAGCAGGAGGAAGGAGGTCCTGATTCCTCTATATAGATCTTTAGTAAGATCTCATTTAGAATACTGTGTCCAGTTCTAGAACTCTCACTCATATATAATAAGATAAGTCCAAAAATGGAGAAAGGTCTGAGGGATAAAACATATCAGGAGAGACTGGGGGAACCTAATACAGACATCCCAACCTGTAAAACCTTATTTCAGGGAGGTGCCCTTTCTTATTTTTTTTTACAGAGGCCGTCGTCAGAATATAAAAGAAATAATAATGATAATAATAATTTTATATTTATATATATTATCCACAAAGAGTTAACAGCACTCTCTCAACCCTGCAGCAGTGCCTGTACCTGCTCTCAACAGTAGTCTATGTCCGCCCTCTCTGTGCAACACGTAGCTTCTTCCTTCCTTCTGAGAGCCAAGCCGCGTTCTGAGGCCACTCTAGGGATCACATGACCTTCCTCCAGGAGGCAAGCCTCGTTCTGAGGCTACTCTAGAGATCACATGACCTTCCTCCAGGAGGCAAGCCTCGTTCTGAGGCTACTCTAGAGATCACATGACCTTCCTCCAGGAGGCAAGCCTCGTTCTGAGAGGGAGACTCCCTGAACAGCAGGGAGACTTGAGATCCCTGCTAATATGTCCAGGAAAGAAGGGAAGTGGGAACATGACTGAAACCTTTTTAATACATGAAGGGTGTGAATAAGGTTCGGGAGGGCAGGATTTACAATATGAAGCTGAGATCAAGAACACGGGGACATGACCTCCAACTAGCAGGAAGTATTATTTAAAAAAAAGCTTAGTTGATGCTCTGAACAGACTTCCAGGAAGTTCCTGCAGAGGTGGGGAGTCAGTCAACAGTAAGCAAATTTACACCAAAAAAAAGAGGCAGACACGATGGACCACTTGGTCTTTTCCACTCTCTTATGGTTCCAAACTTCTTCTATTCTTTAACATTTTCTTTCGTACTACTAGTTTTAGCTCTGAGGATTTGATTCAAGGCCTGCAAGTGATTGACAACAGTTGGGTTTTTAAAACAAATTTGTGTGCAGATTTAAAACTTGCCTGAGAGCGCATCTAGATGAAGTGCAAATCCTGTGCAGCCGGTTATTATGTACCAGAGGAGCTGTGCCCATAAATTTGCAATGTAATGTCTCCAGACGGTATTTAAACTACAATATCTACTCCAGTCGCTGTCCCAACACTTATCTCCTGTCCATGCTTAAAGGAGAACTACGAGGTGACTGATTTCCACTCATCCTCATCGTCCGAGCTGACGTGTGGCAATGAAACAGTCACAGGTCGGCTGAATAGATCGGGAGGTGAGCGAACGCATACCGGCATATCGTGAGGTGAGCGAACGCATACTTCTCGATCATCTCCCTGCAGAGAGCCGTGACTGTCACTCACGGCTCCCTGCAGGGATTCCCCCCTTCTCCTCCCCGATCCTCCAGCGCTGACTGGCAGGACGGGGGAGGGGGCGGGTACAGCTGGCTCTGCCTCTAGATAGGCAGAGCTAGCTGTCAATCACGCAGCTGGGTGGATCCAGACAGCATTGTCGGGATCCGTCCCGGCTGCAGCGCGCTCTCAGTATACCGCGAGCTGTAGCTCGCTATATACTGAGCTTTGGGTGACGGGAGGACGCTAGTTTATGTCCTCGCGTGACCCTTAGGAGATCTATGGGGAAAAGCCCTGACCCCATAGTTCTCCTTTAATATGTCCACTGGTGTCCTCTAGATGTCCTCAATCCCTGACATTCCCAAATTCATTCTTTATAGCGTTCGCATACTGTACATACGGAGGCTAGGCCCTCCTGATATGCCCACAAATTCCCACTTTATGGAGATATGGTCCCCTACCCAGAGTCCTGACCCTCACGGCATTAGGGTTCACTGGTTGTAGATATTTCAGCGATGCTGCCTGCAATACAGAGACATTCTGAAGTGTTCCATCATATGTTGATCTGGGAAATCTTTAGTATTGTTTGCATTCCATCGTTCTACATATCTGGATCGCAGTCTGCGCACTGATACTTGATCCATGTTTCATGTCACTTTGCATTATATCTGTATTGTATCTTTATGTTTTTTCAATAAAAATTAACATGCTAAAAAAATAAAATATGTCCACTGGTACCTAGTTGCCTCCGGGACATAAAGGGAGATATTTAGCAGGGAATATGGTCATGAATTAATTATTGTAATTTTAAATCCATGCATCGGGAAGATTTACTTTAAGTGAATGTTTGGTGAATGACAGATTAACTGCTTTATAATTATGCCCCAAAGTGTATGTCATAAAAAAATGCAGTGCAACTCTGCAATACATTTGGGGAGCATTACTATATTGACACAACCAAGCCAAGAGTTCTCCACGTCATCATTACCTAAAAAGTTGCTCAGATCCATCCAAACCCTTTAAATCTTAATGCAACAACTCCGTATGGCACAAAGTTGACCTATTTTTTGGGCTTAAAGGAGAACTATGGGGTCAGGGCTTTTCTCCATAGTTCTCCTTAGGGTAACGGGAGGACACAAACTAGCGTCCTCCCGTCAGCCAAAGCTCAGTATACCGTGAGCTACAGCTCTCTATATACTGAGACGCCGCAGCTGAAGCAGATCCCAACAATTATGTCTGGATCCGCCCAGCTGAGTGAGTGACAGCTGGCTCTGCCTATCTAGAGGCAGAGCCAGCTGTACCCAACCCCTCCCCCGTTATTTTTTGGGCTTAAAGGAGAACTATGGGGTCAGGGCTTTTCTCCATAGTTCTCCTTAGGGTAACGGGAGGACACAAACTAGCGTCCTCCCGTCAGCCAAAGCTCAGTATACCGTGAGCTACAGCTCTCTATATACTGAGACGCCGCAGCTGAAGCAGATCCCAACAATTATGTCTGGATCCGCCCAGCTGTACCCAACCCCTCCCCCGTCTGTTCCGCCAGTCAGGGGTGGGGGGGGGGGGGATCCCTGCAGGGAGCCATGAGTGAGAGTGACGGCTCTCCACAGGGAGAGGATCGAGACGTGAGCGAGCGACGGTATGTGTTCGCTCACTTCCCGATTTATTGAGCCGACCTGTGACAGTTTCATTGTCACAGGTCAGCTAGAACTATGAGGCTGAGTGATCTTCACTCACCTCATAGTTCTCCTTTAACTGATAATCATAAGAAGAAAAATACATTTATTGACCAGCCATCTCACCTTGAGGTTGTTGACCAGCGATCTCTCCTCCTGTTTCAGCCACTGGTTATCCTCGAGCATCTGCTGTTGTTGTCGGTTTATGACGTGCAGCATCTTGGCCCTCTCCTTCTCCCACATTTTCTGAGCCTCTTCCATGCTAGTGGGCTTCACAAAGTCCTCCTCCTTCAATAAATGGCGATAGAAATAAAAAACACTGAGATCCTTCTTATGAAGGCCAACCGATGACCGGGTCACCCCCAACAAGGCCACACATGCTAAAATACACACCGCCATTTGTAATGGTAATGCAAAGCATGCAAGCCTTACCCTCATACTGCGACGTTTGATGATGCTATGGCGTAGGAGCGGCGGGCTGTGGGTGGAGTCGATTGGAGACTGGTACTCCGTGGGGCTACAGAGCGTAGGAGAGCTGGCACACAGACTTTCAGGCACCTGTGCGGAAAAGGTGCGGGCATAGACACAGACAATTAGCAGCGCTGGTAGTGCAGACAGAGCAGAGTTATACAGAAGCAAACACAAGTGCTAAAACTTGTTTTCCACATAACCTAGCAAAAGCGGCTCGGCATCAAAGCATTAGAACTTGACGCAACACAGAGACTGAGGGGTGTTCTTACTGTGCCGCTCCAATGGGGCATAGAAGTTTATATACATGTGAATTTATATAGGTTGTATTCTTTGTACCATTTTCCTATGGACACTTGTTTTTCCATGTTCCCTTTCGTGATATCTTTGACACATTTCCCCTTTGTGTATGCTCCACCCTTCTTCTTGAGTATGGGAATTCCTGTGTCATGGATGCAGCTAACAGGCCACATGTAACATGGACACATGTATTCTGCATAGTACGCTACGAAAGTATCGTCTTTTGACCGCATAATACCGCAACCATTCATATGCTGTATCCTGTTGTCTGATGTACAGAATAAAGCAACCTTTGTGGATGAGAAGGTATTGGTGAGTTCAGCTATCTGACAATGATTGTCCTCAGTGATTGAATCTGCTTCTACAGGCCAGGCATAGAGGTCTCAGCAAGGGAGGAGTCACTAGCACACTTAGTGAGTAAGTTAGAATACTTACTGTTAAACTTCATAAAATAACCAAAAAATATATAATAGACAAACTCCACCTTGATTTGCTAAACTACGTCATTAAAGAAACCCATGGCCCTCTAAACCCTGGAGTTACTTGGAGTGTCTACTTGTCTACACCCAACAGAGTGGCTGAGACACACATGGAAAAGGAGTTCAAGCATTGCCCCAGCACCAGGATGGCTGAGTGGTTATGGCGTTGGACTTAATATCCAAGAGAATGGATGTATATCCGTGTGGGTTCGAACCCCACTCCTGGTATGAGATTATGCTGGTTTTTGAGTGCCATGATGTCTGTTATGTTATTAAAACTTTTGAAGATCTCCTTTTATAAATTAAAGCTTTGATAAGTGAAACATTTTTTGACCCAGAGGACACTAAGCCTAGTGTAGACCTTTAAGCAAACCAGGGTGGCTCAGTGGTTAAGGTGTAAATCCTGGAGTTACTTGAAGTGTTTAGTTGTCTAAACCCAATTAAGTGGCTGGGAAGCACATGGGAAATTAGTATGTTCATTCACCAAGATGGCCAAGTGGTTAAGGTGTTGGACTTAAGATCCAATGGATGTATAACCGCGTGGGTTCAAACCCCACTCCTGGTATGAGATTACGCTAGTTTTTGAGTGCCATGATGTCTGTTATGTTATTAAAACTTTTGAAGATCTCCTTTTATAAATTAATGCTTTGATAAGTGAAAATGTTTTTGACCCAGAGGACACTAAGCCTTGCATAGTGCTTTAAGCAAACCAGGGTGGCTCAGTGGTTAAAGTGTAAATCCTGAAGTTACAATGGAGTGGCTGATAAGTACATGAAAAAGTAGTATGTTTTGATATTAACACAGCACCAGGATGGCCGAGTGGTTAAGGCGTTGGACTTAAGATCCAATGGCTGTATATCCGCGTGGGTTCGAACCCCACTCCTGCTATGAGATTACGCTAGTATTTTGAGTGCCATGTTGTCTGTCATGTCATTAAAACTTTTAACTATCTCCTTTGTTAATTAATGCTTTGATAAGAGGAAATGTTTTTGACCCAGAGGACAGTAAGCCTTGCATAAGCCATGTTGTCTGTTATGTCAGTAAGCCATGTTGTCTGTTATGTCAATAAAGTGGAAATGTTTTTGACCCAGAGGTCTGCATAGCCTTGCGTAGTGCTTTAAGCAAACCAGGGTGGCTCAGTGGTTAAAGTGTAAACCCTGGAGTAACTTTAAGTGTATACTTGTCTAAACCCAACGGAGTGGCTGAGAAGCACATGAAACATGAGTATGTTCGGAAAGCAACACAGCACCAGGATGGCTGAGTGGTTAAGGCGTTGGACTTAAGATCCAATGGATCTATGTCCGTGTGGGTTCGAACCCCACTCCTGTTATGGGAATCCTCTAACTCTTTGTGATCTGTTAAGTCATTAAACTTTTAATGATCTTCTTTTCTTAATTAAGGCTTAGATAAGTGAAAATTTTTTTGACCCAGAGGACACCTCCTCTCCAATGTACCAGGCTGGCCAACCGGTTAAACGATTGGACTGAAGATCCAATACATGTATGATGGCCATGCCCTTGGCATGAGTTTAAGAGATTGAAGATATGTTTAACATTAAAATCTATGTTGTCTTACAGCAGCAACAATAAGGCCTCGTTCACACCTGAACGCTTTGTAGCGCGTTCTACGCTCGACGAACGCTCTACAAAACGCTCAAACATCTAAATCCCATTGTATTCAATGGGTCTGGTTCACACCATGGCGTATTTCAGCCCATCCCTAACGCGCTACAAAACGGCCCACGCCTGAAAAGGTACAGGTACTACTTTGGGCCGTTTTTGTTGCGCGTTTCAATTGGGATACAGCCAAGTAGCCATCGGAAACGCGCGTTTGTCGCGTGATTTTTTTTTACCGCGAATCGCGGTAAAAAAACCGCGCGACAACCACGCGACAGACAGGCATATGCAATACGCCTAGGTGTGAACCAGGCCTAAAGTCTTTGTAGTACTTTCAGAATGGACTTGAAATAAAACCCAAATACGCCTGGGACCCAATGGTTGATATCAGTATTTTGCTTTAAGAAGAAGTTTCTAGAAGCCATCCAGGAACATGATGAGAACATACCCTGTTATAATTTACATAATCTCATCATCCCGGTGTCATGAGGTCATAAAGGTGTTTACTGCTGTCATGTTCTTGGACAATTAAACTGCTTCCACACAATGGTGGTTGGATGAAGGTGGCTGAGTTATCTGTGTGTATACAATAGAGTATGTTCCCAATACTTATTACAACTGAGGAAGCCAATTGAATGAGTACCGACATACAGTCTGTAAGAGGCCAGTGGGCATGTACAGCACTAACATCATTAGATCGCCACTTGCAGAGCATATGCATACCAGGATGGCCGAGTGGTTAAGGTGTCGGACTTAAAGGAGAACTATGGGGTTAGGGCTTTTCCCCATAGTTCTCCTAAGGGTAACGGTAGGACACAAACTAGCGTCCTCCCGTCAACCAAAGCCCAGTATACCCCGAGCTATAGCTTGCGGTATACTGAGATGCCGCAGCCGGGACGGATTACTGTCGAGATCCAACCAGCTGCATGAGTGACAGCTGGCTCTGCCTATCTAGGCAGAGCCAGCTGTACCCGCCCCATCCATTCCGCCAGTCAGCGCTGGAGGATCGGACAGGGGAGGGGGGGAATCCCTGCAGGGAGCCATGAATGACAGTCATGGTTCTCTGCAGGGACAGGATAGAGAAGTGAGCAAGCGCCGGTATGTGTTCGCTCACCTCCCGATCTATTGAGCTGACGTGTGACAGTCTCATTGTCACAGGTCAACTAGAACTATGAGGCTGAGTGATTTTCACCTAGCCTCATAGTTCTCCTTTAAGATCCAATGGATGTATATCCTCGTCGGTTCAAACCCCACTCCTGGTATATCACTGTAACCTGTTTGTACAGCGTGAAGTATGCTGGAAATATCATCTTTACTGACTATTGAAACATTCCCATTACATGGTTCTCCAACCCAATAAGAGTGGTCAGTGAGGCATTCTCATTGCACAGATGTTGGGCTGGAATCTCAAGCATTTGGCTTTTAATGGTAGCTGCTGGTGAGCTGTAGGAAGGCTTATCTGTACTTATATGTTCCCTTTCAGATGCACCCTGCATCCACCAGGATGGCCGAGCGGTTAAGGCTTTGGACTTAAGATCCAATGGATGTATATCCGTGTGGGTTCAAACCCCACTCCTGGTAGGGACTTGTACATGTATGGGTCCAGTTTTAACTCTGAAGGTGCTTTTCTTAAACAATTATGTAGTGAAATATCTACAGCATTGCCACATAGATTTGGAGGAAACGTAAAGAAAAAAGAAAAAACTTTCTATACATTTCCCCATGTTCTTTAGTGAGATGGATCGGCACCAGCGAAATCCAAAACTGTGTTACCATTGCCCAGGTCAGGTCTCTGGATTATAGTTCACATCCTCCCTATGTTATGTAGCCAAAATCAGGAGTGTAGCTTATGGGGACAACGCTGCTCCTCCATGGATACAGCAGAGTGAGTGTTGTCACCCTAGAACTAGAAATGAGATTGTGGCTGGATTACCTGGTGAAAATAAACAATCATGAAAAACCTGATTGATTTTCTCATCAGTGGCCGTCTGTAGCAGATATTGGTTTACTACAGACACACACATACAGGTATTGAGCTACAACGGTCTACATTTTAAAGCTAAACTAAAAGAAATAACAAGAATCTAGTAATGTGTTTTCAATAAATAAAGACTGTAAAATAAGACCTAGTGAGTCTTTTTTCGTAGAAAAAAAAATATAAGACACTGTCTTATTTTCGGGGAAACACGGAAGTAGCAGTTCAGTTCTATCCAATGTCATTGCATCAGCTAAGATTAGACGGTCCCAGCCCTTGACTATTAATGTCCCCGCGTAGGTCACGTGTCCCGGTCTTCCAGCATATCTGAATTTTTTTTTCTGCTTAATATTGCGCTTTATATCCCCTGATTACCGTCACGCCGCGGAGGCAGCGCACCTTGGGCACCGTACAGCTAATTGAAAATAAATGACATTTAGGAAGCCTATAGACTGCCGGGAGTTCGAGTCTTTGAAATGGAACTCATCAGAAATTCACTCGAAGACCTTGGATGAGCGCCAAGGGCTCCGGACACTCTCCGATAAGGTTTTCCTTTTGGTTCGGAAATGTCTTTACATTTGCGGCTTCTTATCAGCGAATGACACATGCAAGTCCTCATTGTGGCCACCTATTTCTCTTTCCAAATGACGTCAGTGCTGCGGGAACATCGTGAAATTAGATATAAGCTGCTGTCCATACTCGTAGGGTCTATGCTGCCGTGATGTAAGGCTCGTGGTGAATGCAGACGGATCATTTACAGCTACAGCAGAAAGCTACTCTAGAGGGGTCATGGCCGCTGAAGGGGGGCGGGGTCAAGCAGTACTCCTATACTGGGTTTGGGCCTTATTGGGCGGGTGGACTGGCATGGGCGGCCTGCAGGTGATTGTAAAAGGTGTGCACGAGAACAATGCAGCTTTATCCTGAGCTGCTTCAGGCCTCGCAGCCCCGAAACAGTCTGAAGTCTCCAGGCAGGAGGCAGAGCGTGACCTCCATGTGGCGGGAAGGAACTCAAGCAGCAATGTCCCAACTTGGCCCGCAGAGTTCTTCTCCAGGCCCAAAAAGCAAGAGAAGCTCAGACTGTGCTTCGCTTGTACAGTTAATAAAATGGGTGCCATTCCTCCTCCCTACTTCCTCCTCTTTGTGTGCAGTCAGGGAGACTGGGAGGATCTGAAAGAATGCTTTGAGAAGAAATGCCGTGTCACGCTGGGACAAGGACAGACATTGAAGATGGCTGGAATAGGGATGATGGTAAGTATTGGAGTCAGTGGGCTGAACTCCAGGTTGGAGACATGTCTTCCAGGATCATTTATACCAAATGTATAGTTGCCCTTTAAGCCCCGCCCCTGCTGACATCATGTTCTTTCACATTTCATTTAACTTTTTTTTCCGGAAGCCTCTAATGGTCTCTGATCATCACCAATAGACAGCTGACTTGCAGAGGTTGTGTCTTAGGGTCAGGAAGGGTTTAAATCAGTGGTTCTCCACCTGTGCAACCTCAGGACCCACATTTGTCCTTGGTCATTAAGTCGCGACCCAAGTCGCACTGCAATGCAACGCAAGGCATTAGGGAACCACGCGTTCTGGTGCGGGCGTACGCACTGTGGGAGGGAGGTGCGTTTGGGGTACCATTCAAATGAATGGCAACGCAACACACCTCCCACACCAGAATGTGCGGTAGGTGCGATTGCGTGCTACAGTGCGCTAATCGCACGGTACTATGCGATTAACGCACTGTAGCAGTGTGAATGGGCCCTCAAAAACATTGACATACTGTACACACACAACCACAATCTCACACACACATACACACTCCAAAAAATGTTTATTTTTTTTAAGGTCCACCCAGTTTATCTATCTTACGAGAACTGGAGAGGATCCTCAGCCTGGGGTCTAGTGTGAGCAGCTGTGCTGTGACGGAGCTCCGTCCATATGTACATTGCTTGTACAGCTCCCTTGCGTGCCCTGTAAAGGTGCCGGGAGCCAGAATGTGACGTCACTCCGGTCCAGGCACCTCCACAGGATACGTGAGGGGGCTGTAAGCAATGCACTTATGGATGGAGCTCCCTCGCGGCCATAGCCTCATCCCACCTCACGTCACCCCAAGCTGACACTCGGTGCCGGGCAGCATATTTTGAATGGCTGCTTGCCGTGAGAACGAAAATTGCTGCGCTGGGGGGAGGCAGAGGAGCCTCTCACCTAGGAAAGTGGAAGGCATGCGGTGGCCCACTGAACATGGGGTCGCGACCCACTTTTGGGTCACGACCCACCAGTTGAGAACCAAGGGTTTAAAGTGTACCTAAGCCCTAACAATGAACTTCTCTTCTCTGCTCCCTATTGGTCTGTTAAATACCCCATTAAAAATATGTTTTGTTTAAACCGTTCAATAGGTGCAAAAATACCTTCTGATCCTGCCAGAAATTCAGAGCTGGCCTGTGTCCTGTGCACACTTCCTCTGTTCAAAAACAAAAACCACTGTGTTTCTGGGAGTTACTACTCCCCCTTCATCAGAGCTTGGGTGCGGATAGTAAATTGGGAGATTTTAGGACAGCTGATTCTAAAATAAAATATAGAGTTTGTCTCATTTAGCTCTTCGGTAAAGGCAGATTTAGGGGACCCCCTAGGAACACCATGCCTGACAGAGAGCTGGCTCGAAAATCCAGATCGAAAGCCTTACGTGCTCTACCAACACGCTTACTGTCGGGGCTCCTACTTTGGGACTACAGAATGATTAGCCTTTGTGTTGTTAAAAGAGAAATATGAGGCGAGTGATTTTCCCTCAGCCTCATAATCTGAGCCGACCTGTGAAAATGAAACTGTCACAGGTCGGCTCTATAGATCGGGAAGTGAGCAAACACATACCATCGCTCGCTCACTTCTCGATCTATCCGTGCAGAGAGCCATGACTGTCACTCACGGCTCCCTGCAGGGATCCCCCCCCCCTCCCCTGTCCGATCCTCCAGCGCTGACTGGCGGAACG